ATCGACGAAATCCTCGCGATTTGCGAGCTTTTTTGATTGTTTCGACGCTAAAACGGTACTTCATTACATTTGCAGTGTAAGATGGAGTTCAACGAGCTCTTAAACGTCGAAATATCTCCAACGGGAAGGTAATGACGGCTAGTTTTTGTCAAAATCGACGAAATCTCTGCGATATCGTTTTTGTCAAAATCGACGAAATCTTTGCGATCTCCGAGCTCTTTTTCTTGTTTCGACGCTTAATCGGTAGTGCACTACATTTGCAGTGTAAGACGGAGATCAACGAGCTCTTAAACGTCGAAATATATAAAACGGGAAGGAAATGACGGCTAGTTTTCGTCAAAATCGACGAAATCGTTGCGATTTGCGAGCTATTTTGCTTGTTTCGACACATAAACGGTAGTGCATTACTTTTGCAGTGCAAAATGCAGTTAAACGAGCGCTTAAACGTCAAAATATCACCAACGAGATGGAAATGACTTGTAGTTTTCGACAAAATCGACGAAATCCATACGTCAAAATCGACGAAATATTCGCGATTTGCGAGCTATTTCGCTTGTTTCGACGCTTATAATGTAGTGCATTACATTTGCAGCGTAAAATGGAGTTCAAAGAAGCGCTTAAACGTCGAAATATCTCCAACGGGAAGGAAATGACGGCTAGTTTTCGTCAAAATCGACGAAATCAACGGGAAGGAAATGACGGCGAGTTTTCGTCAAAATCGACGAAATCTTTGCGACTTGCGGCCTGTTTCGCTTGTTTCGACGCTAAAACGGTATTTCATTACATTTGCAGTGTAAAATGGAGTTCAACGAGCGCTTAAACGTTGAAATATCCCCAACGAGAAGGAAATGATAGTTAGTTTTCGTCAAAGTAGACGAAATCTTCGCGATTTGCCAGCTATTTTGCTTTGACGGCTAGTATACGACAAAATCGACGAAATCTTCGCGATTTGTGAGCTATTGCGCTTGTTTCGACGCTTATGCTGTAGTGCATTACATTTGCAGTGTAAAATGGAGTTCAACGAGCGCTTAAACGTCGAAATATCTCCACTGGGTAGGATATGACGGCTAGTTTTCGTCAAAATCGACGAAATCTTCTCGATTTGCGAGCTATTTCACTTGTTTCGACGCTTATACTGTAGTGCATTCCATTTGCAGTGTAAAATGGAGTTCATCGAGCGCTTAAACGTCGAAATATCTCCAACGGGAAGGAAATGACGGCTACGTTTGTAAATATCTCCACTGGGTAGGATATGACGGCTAGTTTTCGTCAAAATCGACGAAATCTTCGCTTTTTCCGAGCTACTTTGCTTGTTTCGACGAATATAGCTCGGAAATCGCTATTTTTTTCGAATTTTAGCCCTTGTTAAATGTTAAATTTAAATTTTACTAAAAAAATTTTTTTTTATTTGTTTAGGTTTGAATTTAATCGGAAGGGAAATAAACTGAATTAATATTATTGTGTTTGTAATACTGATTTAGATTTCTAATTGATACGGTAGTTGCTGCCACCAGAAATAGTCCAAGGACTATTTCAAAATATTTTATTTTTATTAATTTTTACGTTTAATGGGTAGCGTTAACTGACGCTTAATGCAACTGGTAAACGAATTCCACTTTTCGGCTTACCTGCTATGTGCAGGGATACTGGCACGGGTGAGGATTAAAGCTGGGAATAATAAATATTTGTCCTCGTTGAACGGGTTTTTATTTGAATGTAGAATTGCTTAGGTTATTATGTATATATATTTTATTAGCTGGATATATATATTTTAGCGTTGCTGGATTAGATAGGAATGTGAGACTTTTCGTTGTTTTGTATAAATTTATTTTTACGTTTGACTTCTTCCTCTCTTTTAATTTCGCTGTAGTAGGTTGCCGTTAAAACCGAAACTCAATTCATTTACTACGATGGATTCTGTTGCCACGATTTTCTTGCCTTTTGAGTTTAATAATCGAGGATGATTCTGACGATCCTCTCTGTGTGGGACTCGTGTGATTTCGCAAGCTTTGCCCAAAGACGGGTAATATTTTACCAACAGTGGGAGGAGGAATGCGACGATCGATGGGTGTTTTCGATAATCGAAACACCGTTTGCACAAGCCAACACAGCGAACGATCCTTTGGTTAAATTTTCGAAGGGAGATTGTTCTGCTATATCTCTTTTACAATCGCATGCAATGATGGCAAGAATATCGTCTAATAGCAAGCCCGGTATTGCTCTTAATTTTCGATTGACTCCGACGGTGTATTTAATGGTCTTCTCTGTGCGGGACTTGTGTGATTTCGCAAGCCTTGCCCAAAGACGGGTAATATTTTACCAACAATGGGAGGAGGAATGCGAAGATCAGTGGGTGTTTCAATAGCTGAAAACACCGTTCGCACAAGCCGACACAGCGGACAACTCCTTTGTTTAAAGTTTAAACAATGATTCTATCTTCAAAACGTTCACGAAAATAGAACGAGATCGATGATAGGAAGTTCTAATTCGATTCTCGAGGGCAACGAAATTATCAGAGAAGAAGGAAATTTTCAAAATTAATTTTCTTACCTTGAGGAGTAGGTGCTGTCTGGTGCCATTACCTCAGCTGCTCCGGTGGTCGTC